GCAAAACAGATACTTCTTTAGCAGTTTCACAAAAACTTGAAAAGAAAACATCCTGAACGGGAGAGGGGTGAGGGGCGGGGGAAGTGTGTGTGTGTGTGTGTGTGTGTGTTCCCCCCTCCCCTCACCCCCATTTGCCTGTAGAGGATGTCGGGGGTTTTATGATTTCTCTCACACGTGTCCTAGCTTGTCTTCAGACTGTTCACCAAACTTTTCACGGCAGAGAAAAGCAGAGAGAGAGAGTTAGTGAGATTGACAGTACTTTTAAAAATATATGGCTGCTATATTTCATGTTATTTGCAAGTATTTGTAAGTTACAGTCAATACTGCTGTATACAGGCGCACAGGAAGTGACTAGGTGGCAGGGACATTGATCCTATGCATATGTGATTCATTATAAAATTATTATTTTGTAAAACCGTAGGGGGCAGCATTTTATTTTCTCCTGCTTGTTACATTTCATGTTATTTTGCCGGAAGCGGGGGCGACCGGTAGGGGCAGCATTTTTTATTTGATCATTTTAAAATTATTTTCAAATTTTATTTTGAAAACCGGAAGCGGGGGCGACCGGTAGGGGCAGCATTTTTATTTTTATCATTTTTAAAATGAAGTAGGGGCGGGACATCCGCAGGAAGGGGCGGGGCTTACGGAGGGGCGGGACTTCCGCTGGAGGGGGCGGGGCTTAGTCGGAATGGGGGCAGGGCTTAGCCGGAAGTGGGCGGGGCTTAATACGTAGGGAGAGGTGTGACCTGTCACACCACCTGTCACTTTTTTGACGAGACTGGTATGTGTATAACTACTGAGGAGGCTGGGCTCTGGGGGCTCCTGGCAGGCCACAGGGAGGAGGCTGGGCTATGGGGGTAACTACTTGGGGTGTGATATAAAATGTATGCATGAGGCATTTCTTTATCTGAAACTATCATCATTATCATCATCATCTACGCCTCTACGTTACATATTACATATAATAAAGTACATATTTTGACTGAAGAGGAACCACAGGTGAACATTATAAGCAGTATATGAGTGAGTCAGCAATATATATTACCAGGTGCAACATCAAATCAGTATCAGTATCCACTTCCTCATGTTACATTACATTACATTACATTGCATTTAGCTGACGCTTTTGTCCAAAGCGACTTACAATAAGTACATTCGACCAGGAAGACACAACCTTGAAGAAAACAGAATCATATAAGTATATCAGGTTTCATAGAGCCAAACATTTCAAGTGCTACTCAACTGGCTTTAGGTAATCCAGTCCTTTATTGGTATAAAAGTGCTTCGTTAATCGTTCTAACGCTCGAAGTGGAGTCGAAAGAGATGAGTTTTCAGTTTGCGCCGGAAGATGTGCAAGCTATCTGCCGTCCTGATGTCAATGGGGAGCTCATTCCACCATCTTGAAGCCAGGATAGCAAACCCACGTGTTTTTTGCCGATGGGAACTTGGGTCCCCCTCGCAGCGAGGGGCGCAACGAGTCGTTTGGCTGATGCAGAGCGTAGTGCACGCGCTGGGGTGTACGGTTTAACCATGTCCTGGATGTAGGAAGGGCCAGATCCATTCGCAGCACGGTAAGCAAGTACCAGTGTCTTGAAGTGGATTCTAGCAGTTACCGGAAGCCAGTGAAGGGAGCGGAGGAGCGGAGTGGTGTGGGAGAATTTAGGAAGGTTGAAAACCAGACGAGCCGCTGCATTCTGGATGAGCTGCAGAGGTCGGATGGCACATGCAGGTAGACCAGCCAGGAGGGAGTTGCAGTAGTCTAGGCGTGAGATGATGAGAGCCTGGACCAGAACCTGAGTCGCTTTCTGAGTCAGCTGGGGACGTATCTTCCTGATGTTGTAAAGCGTGTATCTGCAGCAGCGGGTTGTAGCAGCGATGTTTGCAGTGAAGGACAGGTTGTTATCTAGGGTCACACCCAGATTCCTTGCAGTCTGAGTCGGGGAAACAACTGAGGTGCCGATGTTGATTGTCAGGTCAAGAGTTGGACAATCTTTTCCCGGGAGGAAGAGCAGCTCAGTCTTGTCAAGGTTGAGCTTGAGGTGGTGAGCAGACATCCACTGAGAGATGTCAGCTAGACAAGCAGAGATGCGTGCGACGACCTGGGTCTCTGAGCGGGGGAAAGGACAGAATTAATTGGGTGTCGTCAGCGTAGCAGTGGTAAGAAAAACCATGCGGGCTAATGACTGATCCGAGCGAGTTTGTGTACAAGGAGAAGAGGAGGGGACCAAGAACAGAGCCCTGAGGGACCCCCGTAGTTAATTGACAAGGGTCGGACTCAGACCCTCTCCAAGTCACCCTGTAGGTACGGTCTTTCAGGTATGAGGTGAGGAGGGAAAGTGCAGAGCCAGAAACTCCAAGTTTTTGGAGAGTGCGAAGGAGGATCTGATGATTCACCGTGTCGAATGCAGCAGACAGGTCCAACAGGATGATGACAGAGGAGAGGGATGCAGTTTTGGCAGTGTGCAGTTCCTCCGTGACAGCAATGAGAGCAGTTTCTGTGGAGTGACCTGCCTTGAAACCAGACTGGTGCGGATCCAGAAGGTTGTTCTGATTGAGATAACAGGAGAGTTGTTTAAAGACAGCGCGTTCAAGTGATTTAGACAGGAACGGGAGGAGAGAGACAGGCCTGTAGTTTATAACATCAGACGGGTTGAGAGTGGGTTTCTTTAGGAGAGGGTTTACTCTTGCCTCCTTGAGACTGTTTGGAAAGTGACCAGAAGTTAGAGAAGTGTTGATGAAATGTCTCTTCTACATCAACATGTGTCCCCTCTTCTTCACGTCTCTTCTACATCAACATGTGTCCCCTCTTCTTCATGTCTCTTCTACATCAACATGTGTCCTCTCTTCTTCATGTCTCTTCTACATCAACATGTGTCCCTTCTTCTTCATGTCTCTTCTACATCAACATGTGTCCCCTCTTCTTCATGTCTCTTCTACATCAACATGTGTCCCCTCTTCTTCATGTCTCTTCTACATCAACATGTGTCCCTTCTTCTTCATGTCTCTTCTACATCAACATGTGTCCCCTCTTCTTCACGTCTCTTCTACATCAACATGTGTCCCCTCTTCTTCACGTCTCTTCTACATCAACATGTGTCCCCTCTTCTTCACGTCTCTTCTACATCAACATGTGTCCTCTCTTCTTCATGTCTCTTCTACATCAACATGTGTCCCCTCTTCTTCATGTCTCTTCTACATCAACATGTGTCCCCTCTTCTTCATGTCTCTTCTACATCAACATGTGTCCCCTCTTCTTCATGTCTCTTCTACATCAACATGTGTCCCCTCTTCTTCATGTCTCTTCTACATCACCATGTGTCCCCTCTTCTTCACGTCTCTTCTACATCAACATGTGTCCCCTCTTCTTCACGTCTCTTCTACATCAACACGTGTCCCCTCTTCTTCACGTCTCTTCTACATCAACACGTGTCCCCTCTTCTTCACGTCTCTTCTACATCAACATGTGTCCTCTCTTCTTCATGTCTCTTCTACATCAACATGTGTCCCCTCTTCTTCATGTCTCTTCTACATCAACATGTGTCCCCTCTTCTTCATGTCTCTTCTACATCAACATGTGTCCCCTCTTCTTCATGTCTCTTCTACATCAACATGTGTCCCCTCTTCTTCACGTCTCTTCTACATCACCATGTGTCCCCTCTTCTTCATGTCTCTTCTACATCAACATGTGTCCCCTCTTCTTCACGTCTCTTCTACATCAACACGTGTCCCCTCTTCTTCACGTCTCTTCTACATCAACACGTGTCCCCTCTTCTTCACGTCTCTTCTACATCAACACGTGTCCCCTCTTCTTCACGTCTCTTCTACATCAACATGTGTCCCCTCTTCTTCATGTTTCCTCTACATCAACATGTGTCCCCTCCTCTTCATGTCTCTTCTACATCAACATGTGTCCCCTCTTCTTCATGTCTCTTCTACATCAACATGTGTCCCCTCTGTGTAAAGAGACTCTGAAAGTTTCAGGAACAAAGATTATCTCTCTTTTTGTCCTGATCCATTTCTATAAAAACCTGTCTGAAAATGAGCTGATCAGATTTTGGCCTCTTTATGATGTCATAACGATTTTTTGGCTTGTGTAACCATTAGCCAATCACCAACCAAGGTAACCCCCACCCTTGACTACTGTAACTCACTTCTCTACGGCATCCGCTACCCGTCCCTCGATAGACTCCAAATTGTAAAATATGTAGCCGCCCGACTCCTCACACACAGCAGATCATGGCACCACATCACACCAGTCCTCAAAGACCTTCATTAGGCGCTTTCACACTGCGGTACTTTTCCCACAAAGGTTCATGTGAACTTAGTTCATGTGAACTCTTTTATCGCGTTCACACCAAAAAGAGCCGGTACTAAAATTAGTTCATGTGAACCTTTTTACCCCCTCGAAAGTCCCTGCTAGAGAGCAGGGACTTTCGAACGGCTCTTTTGTGAGAAAAGAGCTACATTTCTGATTGGCTGGAAGGATTGCAAACCACGCCCCGTGACACTCTGAAAATGCCATTTTTATTTCCTCGCATTATTGCCCAGCGCACCAACGGAGAGAGAACTGTTTTTACAAGAGAGAACTGTTTTTAAAAGAATGGCAACTGTTATTGCAAAGAAGTAATCGGAGCGGTGGAGTGATGAGGATGTGTCGGCGCTTCTGTCGATTTACTCCGAGGACGCGACCCAGCGGCTTCTGCTAAAGGCAGTTTCAAATACGAAGATGTACGACCGTTGTTCACTGAAGTTACGCGACCTGGGAATCTTCCATAACGCTAACTCGTGCAGGGACAAAATAAAGAAGCTCAGGCAGGACTACAAAAAAATAAAAGACCACAATAATAAAAGTGGTAACGACCGGAGGACGAGCAAATGGTACGATGTATTGGATGCTCTGCTGGCCACAGGCCCTCATTCTCCGGCACAGCGTCTACCATCGATTCGGGTGCGCTGGTGTGGGAGGCCGCTGAAATGGCGGATTCAGTGGTCGACGACGACGACGAAGAAGGTAAAAATAAACTACATGCACTGCACTGTTTTAATCTGCACAATACTGGTCTCATATGTACCTTTATTTGCTCAGTACATCGAGCTGGCCATGCTAGGCTGAACTGGCTAACACTGTTAGCATGCCGACCCATAGCAGGCTAATAACAGCTAGCTGGCTAGCTATTCTCGGCCGCTATGAATACGTTTTGACTTGTGAATGAGTGTGCAATGTTTCTGTAATTTGCTTCACTAACTAATCGTGTGTTTTCAGGGGCAGAGATGGGACAACTCTGTCTAGAAACGAGTGAGCTTTCCCCTCCAGATCGGGACAGCAGTCCTCGCTCGTCTCCCTTGCCACCAAACAAACGCAAAGGTACATACAAACACACTGTTACTACTCTGGTCTTGAAAAGAACGTTATGCATCGAACTGATGTCCACTAATCACGTTTATTTCCGTCTTGGTACAATTATGAAACACCGTGAAAATACATAGTTTACACTTTTAGCGCCTTTTTTCACTCTCACAAACTTCCGGGCTAGATGTAGCTTGACTTCCGGTAAGAAAACTCCTAAGATTTTTGACAAAAAACTAAGTTCAAGCATACATTAAGCACTCTTCACAAATACAAAACAATAAATAAGGGCACTACATATATATATATGTACACACAAAGTGTGTGTGTATTATATATATATGTATGTGTATATATATATATATATGTATATATATATATATAATATATGTATACACACAAAGTGTGTATATATATGTATAAAGTGTGTGTATATGTGTATATATATGTATACACACAAAGTGTGTGTATATATATTATGCTATTTGATCCTATCTTACCTTCTACTTTACACCCGCATTTTTTACACTGTCCCTGCCTGCACCCTGTCCAATGTTGTCTCTGTGAAAAACCTACTAGTAAACAAATGCCTTGTATGTTGTAAAACTACATGGAGAATAAACTGATCTTGTATCTTGCTTATTTGTCCTCTTAGGAAAGCGGGCTCGGGATGAGAGCTTCCTAGACACCATCGCGGCGATGGAGGACCGGCGTGCCATGGCCAGCAAGGAGAGTGAAGACCGACGTGCCATGGCCAGCAGGGAGATGCACGATGAACAGATGTTGTCTCTTCACAAGTCCCAGGAAACAGACGACAATATGGTCATGGTGATGTCGCGCCAGGCTGACGCAATGTCGCGCCAGGCTGACGCAATGTCGCGCCAGGCTGAGGTGTCTGCGCAGCAACAACAGGCCTTCCAGGTTGGGCTTCTGGCAGTGCTTTCCGAGCTGGTTAAATCCAACAGGCCTTCTTCACTGTAGTGTATATATTAGGGGGGGGGGGCTGTGGCTCAGTGGTTATTGTGCTGTACTTTGAATCGGGGGGTAGCAGGTTCGAGTCCCACTGCAGTCAGCATGTCGTTGTGTCCCTGGGCAAGGCACTTCACCCCAAATTGCTCCTGTGGTTCTCCACAGTATTGAGTATGTAAGTCGCTTTGGATAAAAGCGTCTAACAAATGACATGTAATGTTATTGCCACTGTTTTGATACTGACACTTTACTTGCACTAAGGTGTGTCTGCTGCTGAGCCTATCCCTACACAGTTTATTTTGTATTGTTATTATATATATATATATTGCCACTGTTTTGATATTGACAATTAACTTGCACTAAGGTGTGTCTGCTGCGGAGCCTATCCCTCCAGTTTATTTTGTATTGTTATTATATATATATTAGGGCCGGGACTTTAACGCGTTAATTAAGATTAATTAATTACACAAAAATTAACGCATTTTAATCGCACTTATTTTTGCACCGCGGAACGTTTCTCACTGGATGAGTTTCAGGCGTACCGATTATACTGGAGCACCAACTAACGTTCATGACTTCAGACAACAACAAACCACAGTGAACAACAGTGGGATATGTTGTTTTAAAAAACGGACGGATGGAAGCGTCGATAAGAGCACGGTTGTGTGCAAATTATGCAAAAAGGAATTCGCATATCACCGCAGCACATCAAGCCTCAAGTATCACCTCAATGCAAAACATATAGCAGCTAGCGTGGACGTTAGCCTCTTTTATCGCGTTCACACCAAAAAGAGCCGGTACTAAAATTAGTTCATGAGAACCTTTTTACCCCCACGAAAGTCCCTGCTAGAGAGCAGAGAGCTCTAGAGAGCAGGGACTTTCGTACGGCTCTCTTGTGAGAAAAGAGCTATATTTCTGATTGGCTGGGCGGATTGCAAACCACACCCCGTAAAACTCCCAAAAAGTTTTGTGAAGCCGCCATTTTATTATCCTCGCATTAGCATTATTAGCATTAGCCCAGCACAGAAATGCAGAGAGACTAATTTATGGCAACACAAAATAAAACATGGGAGCGGTGGAGATGAGGAGGTGTCGGCGTTCTGGCGATTTACTCGGAAGGCTGCAGGGACTCCCAGCAGCTTCTACTGAAGCCAGTCCCCAACTCTGGGGACTTCCGGCCGGGGACTTTGGGCGGCAGTATACGCCGTGAAGTGGTTTGCGGCCTGCCAGTAAACCCAAAGCAGAAGAAGAAGAAGTGACGTCAGCGGCTTCATTTGCCTAATCCACCCCCAGGTTCAAAGAGTTCTCATGAACTAAATTCTCATGAACCTTTGTGGGAAAAGTACTGCGGTGTGAATGCGCCTAATGGTATACTAAAATCCATGTGAAAAAAATTCCTTCTCACTGTTCTTAGGTCAAATATTTATATGTGATTAAAAATGCGATTAATTTCGATTAATTAATTACAAAGCCTCTAATTAATTAGATTAATTTTTTTAATCGAGTCCCGGCCCTAATATATATATATTGCCACTGTTTTGATATTGACACTTAACTTGCACTAAGGTGTGTCTGCTGCGGAGCCTATCCCTCCAGTTTATTTTGTATTGTTATTATATATATATATATTGCCACTGTTTTGATATTGACACTTAACTTGCACTAAGGTGTGTCTGCTGCGGAGCCTATCCCTCCACAGTTTATTTTGTATTGTTATTATATATATATATATTGCCACTGTTTTGATACTGACACTTAACTTGCACTAAGGTGTGTCTGCTGCGGAGCCTATCCCTACACAGTTTATTTTGTATTGTTATTATATATCCCAAGTGAAGGAGTTCAAGTATCTCGGGGTCTTGTTCTCAAGTGAGGGAACAATGGAGCGTGAGATGGGCCGGAGAATCGGAGCAGCGGGAGCGGTACTGCAGTCGCTTTACCGCACCGTTGTGACGAAAAGGGAGCTGAGCCAGAAGGCAAAGCTCTCTGTCTACCGGGCCATTTTCGTTCCTACCCTCACCTATGGTCATGAAGGATGGGTCATGACCGAAAGAACGAGATCGCGGATACAAGCGGCCGAGATGGGTTTTCTCCGCAGGGTGGCTGGTGTCTCCCTTAGGGATAAGGTGAGAAGTTCGGTCATCAGGGAGGGACTCGGAGTTGAGCCGCTCCTCCTTCGCGTTGAAAGGAGCCAGTTGAGGTGGTTCGGGCACCTAGTTAGGATGCCACCTGGGCGCCTCCCTAGGGAGGTGTTCCAGGCACGTCCAGCTGGGAAGAGACCAAGGGGTAGACCTAGGACCAGGTGGAGGGATTATATCTCTTCGCTGGCCTGGGAGCGCCTTGGGATCCCCCAGTCAGAGCTGGTTGATGTCGCCAGGGAAAAGAAAGTTTGGGGCTCTCTGCTAGAACTGCTACCCCCGCGACCCGACCACGGATAAGCGGGAGAAGATGGATGGATGGATTATATATATATTGCCACTGTTTTGATACTGACACTTAACTTTGCACTAGTGTCTGTTGCGGAGCCTATCCCTACACCTGGGACAGTTTATTTTGTATTGTTATTATATATATATTGCCACTGTTACTATATTGTTTTGGTACTAAAACTTTAACTTATACGACACACCTGGGACAGCGTGATGCCGTTATTGTGCTAAATAAAAGAGAACCTACATAGCGATTAAACAGATCCTGTATCTTGCTTATTTCTCCTCTTAGTCTTACGCATACACACAAATAATTTATCATATCATTTTGAGATAAATAATGAAAATACAAGGGTTAATATCCTTTTGTTAAATCAGCCTGAGAGGACACTATATAAATAAATGTACATTGTTGTAAAGCACCCTTATAACTGTGGTGTGTCTGCACTATTGTAATTGTGTCTGTCTTGACTGGTAAATAAAAGAGAGAACCAAAAGCACTGTACAACATATCAGTTTTATTGTCAATTAACAAATTTCAACGCTGTTGAGATGCCTCATAAGGGCTGTGCGCGTGTCTTGGGGAGGCTGCCCCCCAGCCTCCCCAATGGCTGGCGCTGGCCCATCAAGCTGGGTCGCCGGTAAGGCAGTCCATTCGGCCCTGTACTCATCGCCATTACTCTCACAAAGGTTATGTAATATGCAACATGCTGCCACCTGGATTTTTATCTTGTCAATCTTGCAGTCGTTTCGCTTCATCAAGCACCTCCATCTGCCCTTCAGTCTGCCAAAAGCGTTCTCCACCACCACTCGTGCTCGGCTTGTTTTGTAGTTGTACACATGTTGCTCGGGTGTGAGCCTTCCATTATCTTGGAACGGTTTCATCAGCCATCTTTGCAGGGGGTAGGCTGAGTCACCAAGGATATAGTAACCCACATCATGTCCACCAATATCCCTTGTCACATGAGGAAGTAGACCACCCCTATCCACAAAACTACCCAGTGATGACATGCCTAACACTCTGCTATCATGCATGCTACCTGGTAAGCCAACAAAAACACTCCAAAAGAGGCCCTTGCCATCCACAACACCCTGCAGGACGAGCGAGTGCCAGCCTTTGCGGTTGAAATACTTGTTGTGGTGTTCCTCTGGTCTCAGAATGGGGATGTGTGATCCATCTACTGCACCTACACACTGTGGCACACCCCATCTGCGCTCAAAAAATAACGCCATCTCCTTTAACTTCTCAGAGCTCGGCCATGGCATAAACTCAGGAAGGAGTAGTGTCACAACAGAGGAGCAGCACTCATGCACACAGCAAAACACCGTAGAGATGCCGACTCCGAACAAATGAGAGATGGTCCTGTACTCAGCGTTGGTCGCAAGTTTCCACAGTGCTATGGCGATTTTTTTACACACAGGTACACACTCCCGGAAGCTTGTGTCGCTTCTCCCCAACGTTGCTTCCAGGCGAGAACAGAGGTATTGAAAAGACTGCTTGGACATTCTTTAATCCACTGCTCATCGGTGTACGTTGGCACCACCATCTCCCACCAGGCCGAGGTTCTATTGTAGAGAGAGCGTGGGATACGACGCGCACCGTAGTATTCGCATATCTGGAACACATACAAAGGCACAAATTAACTCAACATGGGTCATTCCAGAATTGGAGGACAATTTAGACACCAACATTTTTGAAAAATGAACCTTTAATTTGATAAAAAATGGTTATGTATTTAGGAAAAACAGATAATAAACCATCAAAAAAAGTGATTTTCCCAGCTAGGCATCAAATGTATATTTTCCAATGAAGAATTACCCCGGTTACTCTAAAAATCAATGCTAATTTGAGCTTTAACCTCAGGAATTATTGCTAGATGTAGCATGTAATGCTATTTTCAAGGCAAGGACAAACTTGGATATCTAATGCAAGAAAGATAACTTTGAAATTAATATGCTTTATTCTGATAATATCAGTAACAGGGTTGAGTGGGTCAGAGTGCCACACTCTTTTAAGACTGAAAAGATTGTAAACGCATGTTGAGGGACACACCTTCTGTGCAAAATTACTGTTATTTAAAATGTGTTTATGATTTAACAAATTGATTTTACCATTACAAGAGACATATATAAATAGAATAATACCAAAAAAAGTACATAAAATCCCTATTTCAAATGTTATATTTGACTTGCAAGTTGGTCACCAAGATTTTTTTATATAGGGGACATGAAATGTCCTCCAATTCTGGAATGACCCACATAACTCCACAAATCCTACATTAGATAGTATTATGATTTACTGATAACTTACCATTGCTGTTCTTATGACGTGATAACGCTCATCATCCTCAGCCGCCCTACGGTCGAACAAGGC